ATTCATGAAAATTCTTAGGCAAATGGATGGAACTAGAAAAATATCATCCTGAGTGAGGTAGCCTAATCACAAAAGAACACACATGATATGTACTCACTGATAAGTGGATATTAGCCCAAAAGCTCACAATACCTAAGATACAGCACACAGACCACATGAAGCTTAAGAAGAAGGAAGACCAAAGTGTGGTTGCTTCAGTCCTTCTTAGAAGGAGTAACAAAATACTCAAGGGAGCAAGTAAGGAGACAAAGTGTGGAGCAGACACTGGAGGAGGGGCCATCTGGAGACTGTCCTACCTGGGGATCTAGCCCATGTGCAGTCACCATATGCAGGCACAGTTGTGTATGTCAGGAAGTGCATGCTGGCTGAAGCCTGATATATCTGTCTCCTGAGGGCTCTACCAGAGGCTGATGCTTGAAGCTAACCATTGAACTGATCATGGGATCCCCAATGGAGGAGTTAGAGAAAAGACTGAAGGGGCGGAAGGGGCTTGCAGCCCCATTGGAAGAATGACAATTCCAACCAATCAGAGCTCCCAGGGTCTAAACTGCCAGCCTGGGAACATACTTGGAGGGACCCATGGCTCCAACTGTATATGTAGTGGAGGATAGCCTTGTCAGGCATTGGTAGGAGAGGAGGTCCTTGGTTCTGTGAAGGCTGGATGTCCCAGTGTGGGGGAATTCGAGGGCGGGGAAGGGGGAGTGGGTGGATGGGTGGGGGCATATCCTCATAGAAGTAGAAGGGCGGGGGGACGACGGGATATGGGGTTTCTGGGGAGGGATGGGGAAAGGGGATAACATCTGAAATGTAAATAAATAAAATAAAATATCCAATTAAAAAATGACCTTGTTGGCCACCATGAAGGCACACTCTGAGTGTTCCTGGGTGGTATAGGTGGTCAGGATGGAGTTGTAGGGCTCCACTACAGCTGTGAACTCTTATGGGGCTGGGTAGATGGAGAACTGCAGCTTGGACTTCTTGCCATAGTCAACAGAAAGCCGCTCCATTAGCAGAGAGGTGAAGCCAGAGCCAGTGCCTCCTCCAAAGCTGTGGAATATTAGAAAGCCCTGAAGTCTTGTACACTGATCATACAGCTTGTGAATCTGGTCCAGCATCTCCTTGCCAATGGTGTAGTGACCACGGTCATAGTTGTTGGCTATATCTTCTTTCCCAGTAATAAAAGCTGCTCTGGGTGGAAGAGCTGTTGGTATCAGCCATTTTTCATCTCATCAATTACAGTAGGCTCCAGATCCATAGACTGCCCGAGGCACGTTTTCCAGCTCCAGTTTCATAGAAGAAGATGGTGAAGGACTTGTCCCCCCCACTAATGGCCTTATCACTGGGCATCTGCCCATCAGGCTGAATTCCATATTCCAGACAGTAAAGCTCTCAGAAGGCGTTGCCCATCTGAACACATGCCTGCCCCTCATGGACTAAAATGCACTCATGAATGATGAGTTGAGGTTGTATGTCTCACGTAGAGTCAGGGTCACAGATCTTGATAAGATCTTGAAATGTTTTCATGATATAAATTGTTGTTACTTAATACTTAGCCCTCAATTGCCCCTTCCGCTTTTTCTGATCTTTGGTCTCTTGACTTGGAAGTTTTGATCATCTTTGTTGACTTTTTTGGTTGTTTTTGTTTTTAATCTGTACATATGTCTAAATATACTGTTGTCTTAGCCTTGTTCTCTGTTCTTGTAATTTTCTTCTTTTTGGTTTTATTGCTTATGATGCTTTCTACTCTCTTTTGTTTTAATTTTATTTATTTATTTTGTCTTACTTAAGCAGTTGATTTTTTTTTTCATTTTCAGAATTTGCGTTTGGATCCTTTTCAGAGGCTGAACATGCTCATTTTCTTCTTCTGATAACAATTTTGTCTACATTGGTAATAATCTTGAGTAGGTCATCTTGAATTGACTCCTTTACTTCATTCTCTGCTTATTTGAGTCATTTTAAAGTAGGAATGTGAAGTGTATTTCTGGCATTTTAGCTATCTTCCTGCCTTTTGTTTAAGGTATTGAGAGTGAGCCTATAGAGGGCTGGTTTCTTTTTGTAATTTGCACATCTGTTGGGATGGAGGTGTCCTTCAGTTTTATCTCTTTCCCACTTGCTCCAGTCTTTGTTGCTGTTTTGTTTTGCTTTGTTTTGTTTATGTGAATCCTTCTGCTGATCTATCTTCATTTGAATATTTATTTCCTAGTACTATTTCAGGGAGAAGCTGACTGCAATAATTTACACAATTGGACAACAGCCTTTATAGTAGGAAACATCTGTACGTTTAATCTTTGTCCCTTTCAAGATTGAAATGCAGCTGTACATGGTTACTGGTTAATGAAACCATAACTAATAAGTTTCTTTCTTTCTTTTTTTTTATATTGGTACTTTTTTTATAGCTACTGAGAAAGAAAGAATGAAATAAAACCAAATTAAAATTTATGGAGCTAGAGTATATGAAGTAGTACACAATATTGTAGAAGAAGAACATATAGAAAAGTGTTTCCGAGCAAGATAAAAGTTAAAACAACAATGAAGAATAAAGTATAAAAGTGTAAATATGGGAGGATTAATTAAATAAAAATGAGCAATAAAATAGTATTATGACCTTTGGTTCTTCCTTTTTGGGGAGATACTGTTGTTTCTGGGGATAGAACTGTTGGTCTCTATAATTCAAACAAGTTAAATCAGTAGCATTTTTGTTACAAGTTCTGTTACACTTTCTGACAGAATTCCTTAGTATTACAACGTTCTTTCTAGTATTTTGGGAATTAGTCTTGCTCCTATTTTTATTTATTTATTTGTTTGTTTGTTTTATTTTATGCATGAGTGCTCTGCTGCATGTACACCTGCATGCCAGAAAAGAGCATCAGATTCCTTTTACAGATGTTCAGGGTTAGGGTGGTTGTTGGAAATTGAACCCAGGACCTCTAGAAGAACAGCCAGCAGTCTTAGCTGCTGGTGTTTTGGTGTGTTACTATATGTACAGGGCTTTCTGTGACTAAGGTTCTGGGGATGGATCTTTTCCCCAGCTGCCTGTGTTTTTCTTTTTCCTTATATCTCCCACTTTTTTCTTTCTACCACACTCAAGTTTCATGGGACACTTATATAATCTTGTGTAGCTGCTTCACAAAAATGAGTTTAGGGAGAAGTGGACATAGGCTGTCTCTTAGCTGCAGATTCCTATACCACAGTTGTACTATTTTCTCCAGTCAGCTGTGTTCTACTACCTCCCTCATTATCTTATTTACGTCTTCTGTTATAATTTCTAGTGAAGCTTCCATTAATGTCCAAAGAAGATAATTTTGGGATGGTGGAGTGTTGTAGCAGGCTCTGAAATGGCAGCTGAAAAGCTGCTCTGTGGCCTCTTCTATTTCTGAACAGTTAAGCTGCTTGTGTAAATTTGCTTAAAATGTGAATGTTTAAGTGTGAGGCATAAGTACCCAGTGGCTAGTATAATTTAATTCTATATGTTACTTAAGAAATGTAGCTAAGTGAGTAGTGATGAGTATTTCTCCGTCGGTGAAATTAAAAATAATTGAGAGGAAAGTAGATAGGTTTTCTGTATTCTGCAGCCGTGACCCATGTAAGCCTCCTTCTTTATCAAAATCATCTACTACAGTGGCAGTCTACATGACAATGACAAACAGTAATCTTTTTACTATTCTCTGTGATGTTTCTTTTTTAGAACATTGTGTTACAGAATACAGCCTTTTCAGATTGGTTTCTTTTATTTGGAAGTATGCATTTATAGTTTTTTTTTCCCCTTTTAACAATTAATAACTCATTTTTTTCAGCAATAGTTGTATACCAGACATCTGCGGAAAGGTTTTTGTGTAGCTACACTTTTAAATCCTTTGTACAAATGCCAAGGAGCATGAGAGCTGGATCATATGCTAAATGTATGTTTAACTTTATAATAAACTACAAAGTAACTGCATTATTTTGTATTTTCACTCATAGTGCATGTGAGTTTCTGTTGCCCCATCCATGATTGTATTTAGTGTCAGAATTTTTTTTTTATCTTGGCTAATAGATTCAATAGACTGTCTTATGTCTTATAGGTGTCTTGATTTGGTATACATTTTTAAATGATATATTTTACTTTTTCATACATTTATTTAACTGTCAACTTTGATGAGGGATATGATGTACCTTTGATATTTGGTTCACATTTTAATAGGGTTTTTTTTTTTTAACAAAAAAGACATTTGTGAGTATGTGTCAGTGTAGCATGTGCATGAGAGTGCAGCTGCCCACAGAGGCCTTAAAAGGTGGTGTATCCTTTGAAGCAGAGCTATAGCCAATTGTAAATTATCCCATGTGGCCTTGGATCTTCTGAAAGAGCATCAGGTACTCTTAACTGCTGAGCCATTTCTCAAGTCACTGGAATTTTTCCCCGTAAGTTGAATTTTTGGTGTTTATTACTTACAGTGTCTTCTTTCCCCCCATATATATAGTTATCTTTGATTAGGTGCTGATCATTGTATTTGGGCAAAAATGTTTCCTTAAAAACTATTTTTGAGTTTTGTACAAGCTAGATTAGGATTGCTATAATGCACATTTAAGGCTTGATTTTTCTGGACTACCCTCAAGTGATAAACATGAGTCCATCCTTGAGTTTTATATCATCCTTTGGAAATAAATACTTATGTTGGAGCAAAAAATATATTCTTTGTTGGCTACTTCTTTAGCTGAAATTTATGACAAAAGCACCTGTGAGTGCTAGGGCTTACCTTGTCTGGTTCTTGTGTAGTGTTTTATTATGTTGCTGCCTTTTCATGTCTTCAAGGTATTTATTTTATTTTTGAGACAAGGTTTTACTCTGTAGCCTTGATTGAAGGGATTTGTTCATTTGTTTGTTTGTCTTTTTAAGATTTCATTTACAGTTAATATTTGTCTTTACAGTTGATCTTCTTTGTTTAGCCTTCCAATAATAAAGTATAAAATCTTCATCTTTAATTTGTATTTGACTATATCTTGGTGTTTGTTTGCTTTTATAGGTTTTACATGAAACATTTCCTCAACACACATTCCTCATGAATGGTCTCATTCAAGGTGTAAAGGTAAGATCAATTGTGCTAATTTATAATGAGCCCAAACCAAGAATCCCTTGATAGATCAAAATATAGCACAAATACTTATAAGGCATAAATAATTTAATATTAAAAAGCCCAGTGAATTTTTTACATGTTATAGTATGATATCTTTTGTGTGCCTGGCCCTTTAAAGGACTCTATGCTTTTCAGTGCTGGTTGCCTGTTGGAATTCTGGGAATGGGAAGGATATAAAAAGCCAGCAGAGACTGAGAGATGGGGAGAGGAGTAAAATTCAGGAGGAGACAGAAGAATAGGGTGAGAGAGCAAGCACAGTAAGAAGAGAAAACAGTTGGAAACAGTTGAGACAGGAGAAAGCTAAGCTGAGCCAGGGAAGATATTATTAGGAGACAGGAGAAGAACCCATGAAGAACACAAACAGAATAGCTGAAAGAAAGAATAAAGTTAAATCTACAAAAGGCCTTAGCCATTTTTATTTATATATACATGACAGTCTACAAGAGTTTAATTATAATGTATAGATTAATTGCTCTGCCAGGCAACAAAATAAAATGAATTAACTACTGTCTTCTTGTATATTGAGACTGAGGAAGAAAGAAACAATCCAGTTGGAGATTATAGTCTTTTGGCCAGGCCAGTGCTTAGTACAGAACTTTTCTAGCTCTCCTTGACTTGATATAATTAACCTTTCATTATTTCAGTGTTAATAAAATATATATCAAAAATTTATGAATAAGATTAAAATATTGTATTACAATTTTAACCTTAAAATTCATGGCAGTTATATTTAGCCATTCCAGCTTATATAATACTTGTCTGTATTATACTGTATGTTAATATAATTCAAAATAAAATCATACTTTAGTAACTTGAGCAGTGTTAATTAAAATTAATATTAATCTTTGGTTGTTTTTTTTGAGATTTAAGAATTCTGACTGTAATAATAACAAAGTGTTATTCTAGAAGACAAAAAGAAATAGAATTTTGGTTTATTCAAGAGCATAAATAAACAGGGAATTTCAGTAACTGCTGAAATTTAATATTGAACCACAGTGAATAGTTTGTATTTAACCACTTTAATAATTGAATGTTTTGTTTTGATGTTAGAGATAAAAATTCAGAACTCTATAGTAAAACATAGGTTTGTTAACATTTCTTAGTGTTAGCAACGAGTTGTGGCATATGCTTATACTATTTGGAAGCTGAAGTACGAGGCTCAGGAGTTTGATCTACAAAGCAAGTATCAAGCTAGCATAGACCACAGAGTGAAACCTTGTCTTATCCCACATCCAACCGCCTGCCAAAACAAGCCAGATTTCTTAAGAAATAAAATAAAATACACACACACACATATATATACATACACATATGTAGTTTATCTCATAAATTTAGCTTTGAAAAACAAAAGTGGATTTAATTTGGGGATAAACTATGTTTACTTATTGTACATTCTATGTGTTATTAAAGAAAACTGAAAACTTACCATACAATGTTAACTTCATGGAGAAATGAAGTTTCAGAAATACAAATTGTACTTCATTTGCCATTGGTTGGTATTGTTACTACAAAGTCAATTGCAAGCTTCATGATAATATTTGAAGGTAAACAAAAATGTTTTAAGGTTTTTAAAGATATCATCAGATACTGTACTAACTGTATATGCTAAATGTTTAAAACTTTTCTAGCGGCTGATAATTATAAAATTTTTATGTATTTCCTTCAGGTGACCTATAGTTGTTGTTTTTATATGCCTTAGGAAGTTTTTTAGACTTGGTACTTAGGCTAATGCAGAAAGATCCCTAGTTTAAGACCAATCTTGGCTACACAATGAGTTCAAGGCAAGCCTAGGATTCAGAATGAGACCCTGCCTCTAAACAACAATAAAACAATTATAATTTATTGAATTGAAGTTTTAATTGCTGTGTTGTCAGATGAGAACCTTTTTAATTCCAAAACAAACTTACTAGCTAGTTATGTCACCTGAAATACTACTGCTGATTAATTTTGCTACCTATATTAATAATGAATCCAGGAATATGAATATAGTCAATTTCGTTACTTTTGTATTCCATAATTACAATTTGCCTATTCACTGAATTTATTTGTAACCCTAAATTCAGCAGTGTTTTTGTGTTCATCTGCAGGCATGACCAGAGCAGGGGAAATTTTGAGTTTGTTGTTTTTCCATAGGGGGTTTAAGGAGGTCATATTCTGTACTGTTTGCATGGCCCCAGAATTTTGCTGTAACTCTGGTTTTAATTATAAAACCTTTTAAAATTGCAAATTGGACTCTGCAGATTCAGTACTGAGGAAGCACTGTAAATCAAATAACAAAGTGTCCTACTTAATCTACAACTCTGAGTCTGTAGCCTACTGTGATGAAGGGACATGGTTTTTAGGAAATACAAGATTTCTGAAGAGGTTCAGGTTTCATAAAATTATGTCTTAGCATCATATAGAATGTATTTTCAATAGTTGTTATTGTCTCTGAGAATTTGATTTTAATAGTACTTAAATACAATGTAAATTCTTGATCTAGGAGATTATACCATCCTATAAAACTAGATTATTTTAAGTGTAACTGTAATACTTTAGCTTTCCCATATACTTTGTTTTAATATGGCACATGTGGGGCTGGGGGTGTACATCTGTAATAGAACACTTGCCTCATATACCAAGGCCCTGAGCTTGACTACTAGCCTGAAAATAAAGCACTGCATGAATTCTGAAATAAGAACATCTGATTTTTATTTTTTTTTCTTTTTGCACTTTAAGGATTTTTGTTACAGCTTTGGTACTGGTTGTTTTTATCTTACGTTTCTTCGTATTATTTTATTAGTTTGATTTACTATCTAGATATTCACATCTTTATACTTAATTTTAAACAACATAAGATGTTTTATAAGGGGCTGGAGGGATGGCTTAGAAGTACATGGTGATCTTGCAGGGGACCAGGTTCAGTTCCTAGCACCCGTATCAGGTGGGCTCACAACTGCCTATAACTCCAGCTCAGGAGATCTGATGCCCTTGGCTTTTACAGAGATATGTGCATATGTGGTGCACATAAACTCACACAAGTATACATATACATAAATAAAACCAAACCTAAAAAAAAAAAACCCAAGGGTGTTTTTTATTGTTGTTTTTAATTCATGAAGCTGATTAGTGTGAAATCTGAGGTTCTCTTCTGTAATCTTTGCAATCTTTTAACTGTTAGTATGGCAGTAATAGAAGGAAGATTGAGTGAATTTCCTTAAAATGAGAATATACTAAATTTTGTGACTCAGGAATCGTAAGATTTGATTGCTTGACTGAATAATTTTTTTTTCAATAATAGGTGCCCAGAAATTTAGCTTTCTTTTTTTCCATTGAGTCTCTCCTCTTGTCTTCCCTACTTCAGTTTGCCTGAGTCTGCTGTCTTGGACCTTTCAAATGTTGCCAATAGAATACTGAAACCTATTCCTGTTTTCTTCCTATTTAGTTGATTTCCTATTAAAATTTTAATTTGCCTCTAATCTTTGAAAGCTGCTATTTATAAGACCCTGTTACAGGTATCAAAGTACAGAGTTGAAAGGGAACCACACCCAGTGACATTAATCTGTTTTTAATCCAATAGAGAAGATAAAGTAACAAAAATTAGGTAGAGTATTGAAATTACACTAAAAGAGATAGATGCCAGGTAGGAGAAGTCTGTAATGCTCCTTCCTCTTCATAGAGTAAAGAACTCTGTTCTAATATCTAAGAGACTAGATGCTTTTTGCTCCTGATTTCAAAACAAAACAAAACACAAAAAACAACCCAGCAGTTTACTGGCTTTAGGTGTGGCATCAGAAGTGTTTATGTATAAGTCCATTTAAACAAAAGAACATGGTATATTCAGAAATCTTTAAGTATTACATGTAGTGATGACATAGCATATGTGTAAGGGCTAGATTTGAGAAAGTTTTATTTATATAATATGCATAGAATTTTAAAAATAAGTTACAAAAATTAAATACAGAAATAATATAATGGCCACCCATATAGTCATTACCTAAGTTCATATAGATACTTTTCTACACTTGTCTCATCTGTCCACTGCCCACCTACCTCCTAATGGAGATAATAATTTAAAAATGGCTAGCAGTGACTGGCAAATTATGGGCAAGGAGTAGTTTGGTTTTGTTTTGCCTCCCATTAACCTCAACTGTGTTGTTAAAGTTGAATTCTTCCTTTCTTTTTGTTTTTTAATTGATCTTATTTATTCACTTTGAATCCTTATCACCCCCCTCCCGACCTCCTTCACAGTCACTTTCCCCATCCCCTTATTCTGAGAGTGGAGCCCCCCACCGCTGTTTATCACCCTACCCTAGCACATCAAGTATTTTCAAGAATAGGCACCACTTCTACTGAGGTCAACAAGAAAGCCAAGTTAGGGGAACAAGCTCCACAGACAGGCAGACAACAGCTTTAGGGATAGCCCCTGATCCAGTTGTTCAGGATCCACAAGAAGACCGAGAGATGCACATCTGCTACATATATGCAGGGTGTCTAGGTCCAGCCCATCTATACTTTTTGATTGATGATTCAGTCTCTGAGAGCCCCAAGAATCTAGGTTAGTTGATTATGTTGGTCTTCCTGTGGAGTTCTTATCCCCCATGGGGCCCTCCATCCTTCCCCAGCTCCACCATAAGAGTTCTCAAGCTCCATCCAGTGTTTGGCTGTGGTCTCTGCATCTGTCTGAGTTAGCTGCTGGGTAGAATCTCTCAGAGGACAGCCATGCTGAACTCCCGTCTGTAATCATAACAGAGTATAATTAATAGTGTCAGGGATGGGTCTCAAGTTGGTCCTATTATTGGTTGGCATTCAGTCTCTGCTCCATTCTCCATCCCTGCATTTCTTGTAAGCAGGATAAAATTTTGGGTTGAAGGTTTTGTGGGTGGGTTGGTTGGTATCCCTATTGCTCCACTGCCTAGCTACAGGAGGTGGCCTCTTTAGGTTTCATATCCCCACTGATGTGAATCTCAGCT